CAATTTCACATTGTCTCCCAAAATTTCTTTGGGAGGTCATCCAGCTCGGGGGTCTTCTCCTCATCCATCTACATAAGGCCCTTCCATATTTTATCTTTGGTCAGGGGGGCCTCAAGCTGCTCTTGCTGTTCGGGGGAAAGAGCCTTGTTGATGGTTTGAAGAAAGTCGGCGATCAGCCGTAGGTGGGCGTCCTTAGCACAAGGGGGGATGTGGGAGGCAAAGAGATCTTTGAAAAAGTCTCATGCAATTTTGACGCATCCTACGTAGTGAGTATAGGGTGGGTGTCGACCCCCGCTAGTCCATACAGTGCTTCCACGACCGTGCGTTTGGCCCTTGAGTGGACAAGGTCAAAGAACTTTGTGTCCATTGTGCCTTCCGTAGAGCATTTTTACAGTTTTTCCCGGATTTTTGCCCCTTGTCAACGGTACTATGTTCGCTGTAACAACTGAGACTTAACTGTTTGTATTGCCTGCGTGAGTTGTTCTGGGTTTTGCGTATCAGGATTATGTTCTAGCTCTTGAAGTTGATTCATGAGATCGGTTTCCTGTTGGTTGCGTTGTCTTGCCAACTGTTTGGAAAATTCGTTGCATTTTCTGGTAAGAAAAATAGGCCGTTATTGAACCATGTTAAACCCAAATCAATCTCTAGTTTGTGGTCTCTCTAATAGGTCCAAGCCTGAGCCAGGTACCACTGAAATGTAGTAAGGCGAAGCAGCGAAGTATTCAACTTTTAGAAGTCAGGCCCTTGGTGTAGTCTCTTTCGGAAGGTCGGCGCCACCATACACATCTTGTGATCCATGCCAGGATGGGGACTGGAGGGGAGAACTGCTGCTAGAGTTAATCTGCCCGCCAAAGCCTCCGAGATCAAAATCAAGTTTATTCTAAGCTTGGATGAGTTATTGTTGCGGAGGCAAGTGAAGGTTTGTTCCGTGGGAAAGATACGTCGGAAGGAGTCGAAGAGAGAAAGGGTATTGCACAAGTTATTGACCATCCCTCACCTTCTTCGGCTTGACGCAGGGTAGAGGGGAGCACCTGCCAACGATCTAACCATCAGTCCGGGGTGGAGGATGCTTCTATCACCTTGCCTAGTGCCCCGCTAAAATGATCGGGATGCCCTGCGGGATTTTGGCTTGGATTGCATCAAAAAACATATCCCACTCTTCCACAGTGACTGTGTTGGGGCCATCTTTGCAAAAAATACAGAGTACCTCCAGCTCTAGTGCGCCCAATATTAACACCCACCAGCCCTCCTCCCGGTCCTGGTCCCAATATAACACTCCCAAGCGGGACTGTGGGGTACCCAAATCGCTGTCCCTGCTCTTGCTGGACCGGGTGCATGCGCCTGATATGCCTGGAAAGGCCAGACCGCCTTATGCGCCCTATGATGGTCTGGTGTGTCCAGCAGGTGGGTTTCCTGAACACAGCTCATGCCGGCCCAGCTCAATCCTCCCACTCCCCGAAGCTCATCCCATATTGCATGGGCTTTGTCCGGATTATGGGTGGCCAGGCCATTAATGTTGATGGACCTGAGGTCCAAATCCACGTTCCAAAGTGTATGTCGTTGGGCTTTGTGGTACCCGTACACAACATTTATCCAATCCGTCCTGCCATTTCCCAGTCTCCCACTCATGTCAATGGTCTAATAATCGGTGCCACGAGTGAAGATCCCATGCTACCCCATCATTAAAAATGTTTTTCCGTAGCATGGGGCTCAGGCAGGTGAGGATCTCCATGTCGGACCAAGTATGACTGGGTTCAACCTTCAGATGTAGTTCTAACGACAGGTTATGTGAGACCCACGTAAGATCCGCCTCTTTGATTTTGTCAAAGAGGATATACAGATCCTGGTCTGCTATGCCTTTCTTTCTTCTTTGTATAATTTTTGGGGCAATGGCTCCTGGGTCACACCTAGCGTTTGGAATAGGCAACTTTAGCAGTTCTCGAAACAGGACAGAAAAAGCGGGCATAGTCTCAACGTCCCGCTGAACTTGCACATTCTGAAACTCAAACGATGACATCGGTGCCACTTTGTCTTTTCTTGCCTATGTCAAACTAAAAGGGTGACTAAGGAGCAGTTTCCCCACAAGTTTTTCTGTACTTTTGTATCTTTTGCTGAGCACCCTCAAGCAGTGCCAAACAGTCGGTCATTCCTTGTTTGGAGTGCCTACAGCACTCTTAGGGGGGGCGCTCAGTTCGGGATCGGGATGTTTGTGTTTGCCGCGGGTGATGACGGATGTTCGTCTGAGTGACTCCCTGGCTCAACGGGTGGTGGGAACCAACAGTCTCCGATCATGATATGAGTAGGTGATGTGTCGCTTCACTCCGTATTGGATGTGTGGACTGCCTTGTCTACGCTCTGCTATTGTCTCACCGTCTGTCCCACTTGCTTCGCATGTGGTTCTCTGCAGGCTGCTGTGTTCGCTATGGGGTGTGGCCGTGGTGCTGGTGTTGCCTTGCGATTCGCTGCTCTGCTGCCTTGCCACCCTTCCGTTGGCCATGCCTTCCATGTCCTTTGCTTGCACACCTTGTAGTATGGTTGCGTTATTGGTGTACTGCTCATCCGCTCACCCTGTCGTCCCGTCCAGTGGTGTTGCCTTGGTGATGTTGCCTTCTGCTTCACTGCATAAGTGCCCCAATGTGTATCCTGCGTGCCTTGCAGTCATTTTTGGCGTGGTGCAGCCATGTTGCCTGGTGCTCCGCAGGGTTGCTGCCCGCTGCTATGTTTTGGCTGGGGGCAATCTGCCTTCAACATGGGTCAAAGGGTTCATGACCCAAACCATCTAATACGGATACTCCGCAGATTGTTGCAATCAGACTCGTTTTCAAACACACTTTTCACACATGTAAACAGTAACGCAGCATACTGGCGACATGCACCCACTCAAGCTCAGAGATATGGCTTTCAGATACAAGCTCACTCTCAATTGGCTATGGCGACTTCAGCGCCCAAACATCTCACTGTTCACATACACTGGATCACCCTGGTTATCCCACACGCATCACTCTAACACTCGAACACACACACACACTCACTACTAACTATAGCTATGGCAGTTGTCGCTGCATCTACCCTATCGCTATGCTAACTCCCTCTCTCTAGCCCACTGCGTCCTCCGGGCTCATCTGCAGACCTCCTTGCACAAGTCGTTGTGGCAGCGCTTCCGCATGGCTCACGCAGGAATGAAT